TGAAGTCATTTTTGGCCACATAGTGAATTCAAGACTACTCCAGGATAGAACAGTCTTTCTCAATAAAAAAAAAAAAAGAAAAGAAAAGAAAAAGACATAGAGGGTGAAGATGTAACTTGGTTGGTGATAGAGTTTTTGCCTGGCAAATACTTGGCAATTTTAACATTGCTTTAAATAGGTTAAAAAAAAATGATGGCAGCAAGATGCTAATGATAGTTACATAGCTACAAGTGGTTGTTAAACACTGTGCCCCAGGTATTTTATTTAGGTCTCATTATCCAGTGAGGTAGGGTTTTTTGAGAGAACACGAGAGAGCATACACACATCTAAGTGTATACACAGTCCTGAGCTGGACCTAAGGTGTCTTCCTCTTGCTGTGCTATTGCGTGAATCAGGGTCTCTTACTAACAGAAAGCTCATCCTATCAGTAATGGTGGCTAGCCAATAAATTCTTGGGATCCACAGGTCTCCATTCCCTAAATTGAGGTTACATGGGTGCATAACTATGCTGAGTTTGTTCTTCTTTTTTTTTTTTTTAATGTGGATTCTAGAGACTCCGGCTTGCAGAGCATAACAGTCTTTATTCACTGAGACATCTCCCCCTCCTTTCAATTTCCAGATGGAAAGATAGGCTTAGTGAAACTTTAAACATTTTTATTGAGCTACAGTGACATACAGTAAAACACTGTTTTGACAGTGTATGTATAGAGCATACAGGCATATGGGAAGTATGAGAACACTGGGGTTATGGTCCCCCCTCGGTTTTGTGGAGGACAAGCTCTTTGAAGGTGACGCTTTGTATGCTGTAGCATATGAGGGAAGTCTTTGGGACTTGCGAGTTTTGGGACATTGTCAATCGTGAGATGCCCTTAAATTTCATTAGTCTAGAAAACAAAGCCTTTTGTAGCTTGGCAATACTAATTTAGAAAAGGGGTTTATTGGCTTTTAAGGAACATTGGTGTTGGCAAAGTGGAACTGTTGTGTTATAAATGTCCCTATATTTGTTTGGAAACCAAAATGTCCAACTGCCCCTCAGTGATAAAGATTTTTTAGTGTTTTTGACTCTCATGTATTTTTTTTTCCTTACCTCATTTTGAACTACTTAAAGAATCTTATATGTGTATGGCTGTGGGGGGTGGGGCATGGCATGGGAATGGAGGTCGGAGGACAATCTTGAGTGTGGTTCCATTTTGCTTGAGACAGGTTCCCTTTGTTTGCTGGCTTGCCCATGGATTTCTAGGGATTCTCTTGTGTCCATTTCCCACTTGTCTTTAGGAATGCTGGGATTGCAGGTGGGTGCTGATGTGCTTAGCTCCTTCCGTTTGTGCCAGGGATTAAGGCTTCTGTTTTACTTCTTAATGTTTTTACAGTAAGCACTTTACCCATGGAGTCAGCTTCTGTCCCTTGAACTATTTTTTTTTTTTTTTAATAGACAGGATTTCTCTGTGTAACCCTGGCTGTCTTGGACTTGCTTTGTAGACCAGCCTGGCCTCAAACTCACAGTGAGTCACTTGCCTCTGCCTGCCTGAGGGCTGGGATTACAGGTCTGTGCTATCGTGCCCATCTGAGCTACTTTTTTTTTTTTCCCCTCTTTTTCCCCTAGTTAATCTTGTGTCCCTTTTAAACTTTGGTTACCAAGATACTTAATTTAAAAGTCTCTCCTTATGAACTGTTTTATCTTTGACTTTGTAAGTTTGTGAATTTGTAGAGAAAATATAGATAGCTCAGTTGTAAGGTGTTTGCTGTGCAGAGGTAAGAGCCTGATTTGTATCCCTAGTACCCACTTAATAGCATGATGCAGACCCAAGATTGGAGAGGTGGGGACAAGAGGATTCCTGGGTCTGCCAATATATGCAGATTTTTTAGTTCTAGGTTTAGTGAGAAACTCAAACAGTAAGGTGAGAAATGATTGAGGAAAACACTTGCTGCTTCCTGGCCCCATGTGTACACACAACCACACACATGAAACTGCTACTTACTAGACTGTTCCCCCTTTACACCCCAGTGTTGAAAATCGAACTTGGAGCCTCATGCATGCTGGGCAAGCACTTAGCACGGAGCTCTCTAAACACTTCATTTATTTATTCATTCGTCCGTCCATCCATCCATCCATCTATTTATCTATATATCTATACGTCTATACGTACAGTGTTCAGTCTGCATACACACCTGCAAGCCAGAAGGGGCAGTAGATGTCATTATAGATGGTTGTGAACCACCATGTACTTGCTGGGAATTGAACTCAGGACCTCTGGAAGAGCAGCTAGTGCTCTTAACCTCTGAGCCATCTCTCCAGCCCCCGTTTTTGTTTTTGTTTTAAAGTCAGTAGAAATAGAAACAGTTTGTTGAGAAAGATAATCTCAAAAATGGGAGTGGGCTAATAGCATGCAAAATGCATATCCTCAGATCTTCTTTTTGGTCTTGGTCTGTTTCAGTGGCTTTTCCAAGATTTCATTTTATTTATTGATCACTGCTGTAGCTTTATGTCCCGTATTTTCATTTATATCTTTCTCTTGCTGTGTGTGTGCGCATGCAAACGCATGTGCATGTGTGTATGCCTTTGCATGTGTGGAGACCAGAGGAAGACAATGAGTATCTTGTTCTACAGTCCTTGCTTTTTTCTTTTGAAACAGTCTCTCACTGGACCTGGTCCTAGGCTGGAGGCAGCAAGCCTCAGCCATCCTCCTGTTTCTACCCTCCACAGTGATGGGGGAACAACCAGATTTTTACTTGAGTGCTGGGATACTAATTCAAGTTCTCTTGTACAGCAGGTTCTCCAGCCACCGACTCATCTTTCCAGCTCTTGGTTTTTTTCCTGACAGTTTCGCTCTGTAGCCCTTGCTTGCCTAGGGTGGGGGTGTACATAAGTGGTGGGGTGTACACATTACAGTCTCTGAGGCCCCCACCCCCACACAGTAGACTTATTCCCTGTATCTAGTTATTTGAGAAATCTTATGTTCCTTTTCTCTTCTGGGGCTGCTTTTATTTTTATATTTTTGACACAGGGTCTCATGAAGTCCTACCTGGCCTGGAAATTGATATGTAGCCGTGCTGGTCTTGAACTTGCAATGATCCCCCTGCCTTTGCCTCCTAAGTGCTAGGATTACAGCCATGCACTACCACTGCATGTTTTGTTTTGTTTTAAAGCGTCCGTTTTCTGTTCTTGTCTCCAGCTGCTCAGTCTTGCCCTCTTTCCTTTCCCTACGAGACAGATGTGCTGCCTTCACTTCCTACTCCTTTCCTCCTTGATGTCCTTTGTTGAAATCATGTAAGTATTTTAGATCTTAAAGTCAGCCTGCATTTATTCTTCTGCCTATAGCTTATGGATAAAATCTTATCTTTCTTACAGTTCTTGGAAGTGTAAAATTATGCTGCTGTGCATCTCACATGATTCAGATACTCTCTTTGAGTTGTAGTCCTTTTGTGTGAAGTTTCTTTTGGGTTTCTTCTTGAAAGCTGGTTGATTAGATAACACTTTCTAAACCCTCTCCCTTAGTTCTTTGAAGCCCATGTACCTTTGTCACCTAACATGCCTGTTGTTGATAAAGAGCACTGCTTACCTTTGTGTACTTTATGTCTATTCCTAAGAACTCAGGTTTTCTTAGGGCCTTATGAAATTTCAGTAAGATCTTTCTCTTTCTCTCTCTCTCTCTCTCTCTCTCTCTCTCTCTCTTTCTTTCGTCTTGCTATAGAGTACTGGGTGGCTTAGAATTCAGAGATCTGCCTGTGCTGGGACTAAATATGTATCATACCATACCTGGGTTCTGTAAGTTTTTTTTTTTTTTTTTTTTTTTTTTTTTCCCAAATCTTCCTAAATGTTTCCACTCTGTCCCAGGAAAATTCTAGAACTTGTGGAAGATAAGGTGTTGGGCTTTTGGTTCTACCTCTATTTCCACCTTTTTTCTTTCCTAGCTGCAGAAGTTATTGGTTTTTGTTTCCTAGAGTTTGTAGCCTTTTCTGCAAGGCTTCTTTCACTCAGGTTGTTTTTGAGTTTCATAGATAAGTTTGTGCTTTCTTTGTAATTTTTTAAAATTTTTTTCCTGTGAGGATGAGTGTTGAAAGCACATCTCCCCTTCCCCCACGGTTAGGAACAAATTTTATTCATCATTTTTGTTTTTCCCTTTTTAAGACAGTTTCTTTATGTAGTCCTAGCTGTCCTGGAACTCGCTGTATAGACTAGGCTGCCGATGTTTCAGTGGGTGTAGATCCTGTTTATTGTCTTCTGGGATGGAGTTAGTTGGAAGATGGGATGGGTACGTGGCCAGGTTTGGAGGCTGTCTTTCCTTTAGATGACAGCAGCCAGGTGGATGCCACTCTAACTCTCTGTCTCTGATCCATGTACTGAGGGAAGAGATTTTTTTGCCTCTGTGAGGTGAGATGTATTTTTGGTAGATAGAAATGGCTGGCCTGCTGAGTTGCTCCAAATCCATTTACTGACCATGTCATCATGGCTGCTGGAACTTGCTCCTGGCAGCCACTCCATCTGTTGCTTGGGTAGAACAACCCCTGTGTACTTCATGGCTGCTTCCAGTCTTATTAGCATTGATGGTTCTGGACAAACACCGACTAGATGTTTTTGTGTTCCAGAAGTTTTTTTAGGAAAGTAAATTGAAGCTTTTATTAGTAATTTCTAGATTTAGGATTGGAAAGGCACATACATGTCCATATTTACGTATGTTTCTGAAGTTATTAACTAACTTTTTAGTTAGTTAAAAGTTTTATGTGTATGGTTTGTATGTCTGTGTACCATGTGTGTGCCTAGAGCCCATGGAGGCTAGAAGGAGGGTATTAGATCCCCTGAAACTATAGTTAAATGTGGTTGTGAGCTGACAAGTAGGTGCTCTCTCCAGCCCCATATTTGTTTAATTTTGAAGTGTTTTGGGGGCAGCAGATATATTGGACTTAAAAGTCCATTGAAGCCTTTAAAAAATTTTTAAGCTTCCAGAGCTTTAGTTTTAGGAAAAAAGTATTTTGACATTTTTTTTTTCTTTCCCATTTAGTTTTTCCATGGTTTGGCTTGGATATTGGTGGAACCCTGGTCAAGCTGGTTTATTTTGAACCTAAAGACATCACTGCTGAAGAGGAAAAGGAGGAAGTGGAGAGTCTGAAAAGCATTCGGAAGTACCTGACCTCCAATGTGGCTTACGGGTCAACGGGAATTCGGGACGTGCACCTCGAGCTGAAGGACCTGACTCTGTGTGGACGCAAAGGCAATCTGCACTTTATACGCTTTCCCACTCATGACATGCCTGCTTTTATTCAAATGGGCAGAGATAAAAACTTCTCGAGTCTCCACACTGTCTTTTGTGCCACTGGAGGTGGATCATACAAATTTGAGCAGGATTTTCTCACAGTATGCATTTTTTAGCTTATATACAATTTATGGTAATTTGATTGTTTAAGATGATGCCAATTACAAGTGGTAGAATCATTTCCATTTCTAATAGAGCATGGATATTCTTGAGGGAAATGAACATATTTATAAATTAATGACAGGCAGAAGTTGATCATCTAGCAGTTGCTGTGTAGTGTACTTCTTACCTGGTGAAATATATTGATGTATTAGCAAAGCATTTTACCATTTCTTTAGTATGAAAACTTTGAGCATGGGATAAGCACAGTAAGAGCCTACAAGGAGTAACATCAATTCCGTTAAGGAGTTAAATACAAAATGTTAAAATTTAGTCCTGGGCTAAGGAGATACCTCAGGCAGTATAGTGTTTGGAGGACCTGAGTTAATCCTTTGGAACCCATATAAAATGGCCAGATATGGGCTGGAGATGTGTCACTACGTTGTCCTTGCTCTTTTCTGTTGTAATCCCAGCATAGAAGTGACATGAATAATTAGCTAATAAGGTTTTATATCTTCCCTTGGGGTTTTCTTGTTTGCTTTTTAGGGGGTTCTTTTCCATCATTGAATCCAGGTGAAGAGTGGAATAGTAAGTTCCTTGTGAGAGTTTCCTAGTGGGTCACATAGATAGAGAAAGTCTCACAGTGGGTTCTGGGTCATAGTTGATAGGTGGAGAAAACTTCTATTTTCAAGACACAGTAGAGGCCCCTTGTAGCATATTTGAAAACTTCAGGCCATTAACAGGTCTCAGTTGTATGAGAATCCAAGGAAACAGTGCCAGCCGGACTTTGTTGTCCTTAAGACTAGGCTTCTCCTTTTCATGTTCCTAAGTTTTGATGAAAACTACATGGAATGAAGGGTGTTGGGAAAATTATAAACAGTAGGTAAAGTGCTTACCACACAAGCATGAGGACCTGAGTTTGAATCCTTAGCACCCACATTAAAAAGCTGAGTGTGGGTTCTGGAGACATGGCTCAGAGGTTAAGAGCACTTGGCTGTTCTTCCAGAGGACCTGGAATCCCAGTACCCACATAGCAGCTTACCACTGTCTGTAAATCCAGTTCTGGGGGATCTGACACCCTTATACAGACATATATGCAGGCAACACACTGACAAAAATAAATTTTTTTAAAAAAGGAAAGAAAGCTGAGTATGTGCCTGTGGCCTTAGCAGGGGAGCAGAGATGTTTGGCCAGCCAGTCTAGGCAGTCAGCACGTGCTAGGTTCAGTAAGAGACCTTGACTCAAAAGATGAGGTGGAGCGCTATTGAGAAAGACTTGATGTTCACTTCCAGGCTCCGTATGTATACACACACACACACACACACACACACACACACACACACACACACACCCCTTGTGAAATTATTTTAAAATGTGAATTAAGACTTTTCTTTTTTGAGACAGTTTTATTATGTAGCTCTAGCTGGCTTGGAACAGCCCTGTAGATCATGTTGGTCTCCAGTTCACACAGAGATCTACCTCTGCCAGTGAGTCATCTACTTGCCTCTGTCTCCTGAGTACTGGGATTAAAGGTGTGTGCTACCATCCCTGGCTCAGATTTTCTTGATATTGAATTTGCCTCCTGGTACTAAACTTACATTCTAAATAAGTTGGATTAGTAAAATATCATCTGCAGATTGAGTCATTAGGTATGACCTCTGAGCGGAGACTCATTAAGAATGGTAGCACAGTAGGATGTTTCAGGATAACAAATTCTGGCAAGGATGAAAGGAGAAATTGGTTTGATATTCAATGTCAAAAACTACTTGGATTTTATTTTTTTGTCTACCGCTGGTATTTAGCATAAAAGTGAAAATGCTGACACATAGCATTGAATTACCTTGATGGAGAGAATGTCCAGATAGAGGGATGTGCTAAACATCTAAAGGGTGTGGTTTTGGTTGGAAGAGAACTTAATATTTCTCATTAGGAATTGATTAATTTAAGAACTTCCCTGAAGTTACTACCTTTTTGTTGCTCACAAGAGACTGGAATAAATTGAGTGAGTATAATTATAATTGAATAGAGTGTGGTTTATACCAGAACTGGGTTCTTCAGTGGCTATGAGGTATTACACTGTTGTAATATATTAGCATGTTATAGTCAGTATTCAAACTAGTCAGCGTTCTTCAGAGTTACCATGAGAGGTTTGTGTATCTTTTTGTTAAGTTTTTTGTTTTTTTTGAGACAGGGTTTCTCTGTGTAGCTTTGGCTGTCCTGAACTCACTTTGTAGACCAGGCTGGCCTTGATCTCTCAGAGATCTGCCTGCCTCTGCCTCCCTGAGTGCTGGGATTACAGGTGTGTACCACTGCCTTGGCTCAAATTTCTGTATCTTAATAGATATGCATAACTATATGTCACATGTATATATAAACATGATGTAAAATAGATAAACTCAGTTATAGTTTATAAGAAGTTTCTGATTTGACTAAACATGTCTTGACATTTTCCCTGCTTAGGTAGGATTGCTGTACTTCCCTCGTAGTATGAAAATAATCTAGCATTTCCCTGTTATATGAAAGGAATTAAGTTGATGAAAAGATTTAAAGTTTGATGATATTAAGCTTTGCTCTTCCGAAAAGCTGTTTTCTTTTTTTTGAGCTGGAGGTCTCTTGTAGTTGAGTCTGATCTTGAACTTTCAAGCTTCCTCCCTCCTGAGCATAGGGATTACAGGTATGTGCCACTGTGCTTGACTTTAAATCTTATTTCCTTGGACACTTTATAGTCCTTTAGCTTCAGGTAGGTTTTGTTTTTGTTTTTTATTTATTTATTTATTATTTATACAGTATCCTGCCTGTGTGTGTACTTGCACGCTAGAAGAGGGCACCAGATCTTATTATAGATGCATATTTATGAGCCACCATGTATGTGGTTGCTGGGAGTTGAACTTGGGACCTTTGGAAGAACAGCCAGTGCTCTTAACCTCTGAGCCATCTCTCCAGCCCTGGCTGTTTTTGTTTTCAAACTGGGACTTGAACCCAGTTCATGCATTATGCACACCATTGAATTATACCCTCAGCTTCAGGTTATGAAGTAGTAAAGTGTGTTTTCTTTGGTACTTAGATAGCTTTAGATGGTCTTTTGAAAGGTGGATGTTGGGGAGGGAGAGTTGTTTGTGTATGTGTGTGCGTGTGCATGTGAAAGAGAGTGTGTTTGTGTTTGTGTGAGAGAGCATATGCACGTGCCCTTAGTGTGTGCTCACTTACATGGAATCCAGAGGCCAGGCTTGGTATTGATCATAAAGAGCTGTCCACATGGGCTTCTTGGTTAGACTAGGCCATCTGGGCAGGGAGTCCCCTTCCCATTCTTTCCTATTACTGGGGAATACAGGTAGATGCCACCACACCCAGCTGTTTGAGTATGCAGAAATGGAACTCCAGTCCTCTTGCTTGGGTGGCAAAAACTTTACCAGTGAAACTCTTTTTTTCATCCCAGCATGTCAGTCTATGGATACTGCCATTGTTACCAGGTACTCTGATAAGCCATGGGCTCCACTGCATCCTGACTTCACTGTCCCTGTTAGCAGAGGTCCTGTTTTCTGTTGCTCACCCCACAGTTACAGTAGTTTGTATGTGGACAGTTACAGTAGTTTACAGTACTTTGTGGGAGCCCGAGTTTGTCTTGGTGGTCCATCCTCCTTTTCCCTGTCCCCAAGTCTGCTCTAAAAAGTATACAAAAGCTGCGTATTCGAGGGCACACTTTTATGGTTCCTTCGATGTAGAGAAGTGTTTTTAAATAGAATTTAAAATTTTGTTTGTTGGTTGCCAGATGTGGTGCTCACAGTTGTAGTCCTAGCACTTAGTAAGCTGGGGCAAGAGGTTACAGTGAGACTTTGTTTCAAAAAACAAACTGTTGGCTTATTAGAAAGTCTGATAACATTCTTATTTTATTACAGATAGGTGATCTTCAACTTCGAAAACTGGATGAACTAGATTGCTTAATAAAAGGAATTTTGTACATTGACTCAGTTGGATTCAATGGACGGTCACAGTGCTATTATTTTGAAAACCCTGCTGATTCTGAAAAATGTCAGAAGCTACCATTTGATTTGAAAAATCCATACCCTCTGCTTCTGGTGAACATCGGCTCAGGGGTTAGCATCTTAGCAGTCTATTCCAAAGATAATTATAAGAGAGTCACAGGCACCAGGTAAATCCTTCATATAGTCATTATATATACTTGATATGGTAGGTTTACTGAGTGAGTGGTTATCACAGCTACATTTACAGCACCCATTAAAATTATGTGAATTTTGAAACTAGGCAAGCATATGTTGCTTCTCTTTAAACATTCTGATATCATGACCTTTTAAAGTCTCTTTTGCTTAGGATTTTTATTATCATTGCTTCATTATGTGATGTCCCAAAGACTCATTGCATCCATAGTTTATGGTGTGCATATATAAAGTAGCTGAAGTTAACCAGGTAGTCCTTTGGAAGAAAAGGCAGAAGAAATTTCTTCCTTTGAAACCTGTAGACTTTGTATACATACATGCATATATATGTGCTTTGCCATGTGCATGCACATACTCATACCATAGGATGATAGAAGGTGTCCAGGTGATGGCCATACAGCAAGGAATGGTCATGGGATGGTGTGTGTTGTAATTTGAATGAGAATGGCTCCCATAGACTTAATATATTTTAATACTTAGTCTCTGCTTGGTAGAAATGTTTGGGAAAGATTAGGAAATGTGGTCTTTGTTGGAGGAGATGTGTTATTTGGGGTGGGCTTTGAGGTTTCAAAAGCCCAAGCTATTGCCAATTAGCTATCTCTGTTTCTTGATTATGTTCAAAGATGTGAGTTCTCAGCTACTGCTCCAGTGCCAAACCTGTCTACAGGCTGTCATGCTCTCACTGTGATGCTCATGAACTCTTAATTATAAGTCTCCAATAAACTCTTTCATAAGTTGTCGTGGTCTTGGTGCCTTACCACAGCAATAGAAACTAAGACAGAAATTGGTACCAGGGAGTAGACTATTGTCTGACAGGCTTGACCCATTCTGTTGTTTGGAATAATATGTGGACTTTAGATTAGGAACGTGGTTAAATGCTATAAGCAGGGCTAAATAGGGCTATCAAAGTAGGAGTTGGAAGACAGTAGTGCTGAGAGCAATGTTGACCATGAATGCCCAGCGCAGGAGGTTTCAGAGAGGGGTCAGGTGTGGTGGTGGTACATGCCTTTAATCTCATCACTCAGGATATCTGAATTCAAGGCCAGCAGTGAGGTCCAGGCAGCCAGGACTACAGAGAGAGGTGGATCTCAACCTTTATAATGCTGCAACCCTTTAATGCAGTTCTTCATGCTTGTTGTGACTCCTGACTACTTTGTTACTACATAACTGTGATTTTGCTACTGTTATGAATCATAATAAATACCTGTATTTTCCAGTGGTCCTAGGCGACTCCTGTGAAAGGGGTTATGACCCACAGGTTGAAAAATGCTGTTATAGACTGTCTCAAATAAACAAAAAACCAAAAAAATGTTTCAGAGGGGAACAATATTAGCATCTGGGCCAGAGATTGTTCTTATGATATTTTGGCAAGAATGTGCCTGCTTTCTGCCCTTGTCCTAAAAAGTTGCCTGAAGCAAAATTGAGAACTAATGGATTAACTGTTTTGGCTGAGATTTTAAGACAGCCTAATATTGTGTCACGTGGTTATTAGTGGTAACTGTTATGTAGATCTACAGTACAAAACAACAATTGAGGTAAAGAATACAAAATCTTTAAAGTGGAAAAATTGCATCAGGAGATTTAATATTCAGTACAGCCAAGGCCTGTGCTGAAAGATAAGGTGAGGCCTGGTGGAAAATAAAACTAAAGACATTGCCCAGCTAAGCTTTCAACTTGTAAGAAGGAAATGCCTGAGGAATTTTCTGCTCTTAAAAAACAATAACAACAAAGGAAAGCTGCTGCAAATGTAATTCAAGAAGGAGCCCACGCCTCACCGCAAGCAGGCAGCCCAAGGGGCAGAGTTATCCACATGGTTCTGGCTTTAAAGTCAAGGATTTATGAATAAAAGGGTTACAGACATGTTGTCCGTAGTTAAGGAGAACCACCCAGGCCAGGCATGTGGCAGGGAGTCCCTGCACGGAGGTCTTGAAAGGTCATTATGTAAAGTTGTGAAGGTGAGGCCTTGGGGTCTGGGAGATCCCAAGATGTTGGAGATGCCAGAGCCATGGGATGCCTGCCAAGGAGAGCTACAGTTAGGGTGTGGAACTAGTCTGAGGGAGAGAGGAAAAGAGAGAGAGAGAGGGAGGGAGGTAGGTTAGAGTTGGCAAGGCTGGAAGGAGAGAGCCATCCAAGTCCTTTGCCATAGGACAGGTAGGATTTGGAGTTTGCCCTAATGCTTTTTAGTCTTGCTTTGGTCCAGTATTTTCTCACTGTGCCCCCTTTCTTCCATTTGGAATAGTAATGTATACTGTGCCATTGTATGCTGGAAATACATGATTTGCTTTTTTGCTTTTACATGGGGTTAACTGTTAAGATTGCCTTGATTCTCAGAAGAGATATGGATGGACTTTGAAACATTTGAGAGTGAAATACTATGGGAACTTTTGAAGGTGAACTAAATGAGTTTTGCATGTGATACAGCTACAAGCCTGTGGGGCCCAGGGAGTAGGAATGTGGTGGTTTGAGTGATAATGTCTTCCCATAGGCTTATATATTTGAGTGCTTGGTTCCTAGTTGGTCAAAATGTTTGGGAAGGATTAAGGGTGGCCTTATTGAAGGAGGTATGTCACTGGGGTGACTTTGAGGTTTTAAAAGCGTAAGCCATTCCCAGTTAGCTCTCTATGCCTTATGGTTGTGTCTCAAGATAAAAGCTTTGGGCTAGAGAGTTGGCTCAGAGGTTAAGAGCACTGTCTGCTCTTTCAGAGGTCCTGAGTTCAATTTCTAGCAACCGCATGGTGGCTCTTAAGCGTCTGTACTGGGATCTGATGCCCTCTTCTGGCCTGCAGGTGTATATGCAGACAGGGTACTCATAATACATTTAAAAAAAAAATACATGAATCTTAAAAAAAAAAAAAAAAAAAAAAAAGATATGAGCTCTCAGCTACTACTCCAGTGCCATGCCTACCTGCTGCCATGCTTCTACCATGATGATGGTCGGGACTCTAACACTGAAACTGTGTGTCCCAAATAAACTCTTTTCTTCTATAGTTGTCTTCGTCATGATGTCTTATCACAGCAATAGAAAATTACCTAAGACAGTTTGGATCTAGAAGTTGAGGTACTGTTAACTAGAAAATTGATTTGAAAGGGAGGATTACATGAAAGAGAATGAATGTTTTGGTTAAGGTTCAAGGATTACTTGAGGAAAACAAAGGAACTGAGGATTTGAATAACCATTTACCTCATGAGTATTAGCCAACAAGTAAGAGTTAGTTTTGGGAAAGAAGTCTGGTGGGGTTAGGGTGACAGGTGCTTGAATGACTTCAGACATTCTACATTTGAAGACAAAAGTAGATTGCCAACATGACACTGGGTATATTGGCTTTACTGATGTGTACCCAATACTTTTAATACTTGCCAGGATTAGACTGTACTGGGGTTATGTATAAGGAGATGTGCTATATATATATTTTTTCTACTTTTTTTGGCTCACATGGATATATGCATTTTGTGTTCTTGAGGCACTTGGATTTGTCTTCTTGCAAACTTACCTTATTGGTATCATATATGATTTAATTGGGGTAAGAGTAGACTGATACATGAATATTGTTTTGGGGTTCATAAGTCTTACATCCCATTCTTATGTTTAAAAATACTTCATTGTTTGCTTTTAATCATAGTCTTGGAGGAGGAACTTTCTTTGGTCTCTGCTGTCTTCTTACTGGCTGTAGCACTTTTGAAGAAGCACTTGAGATGGCGTCTCGTGGGGATAGCACCAAAGTGGACAAATTAGTTCGAGACATTTATGGAGGAGACTATGAGAGGTTTGGCTTGCCAGGTTGGGCTGTGGCTTCAAGGTAAGGGAGTGTGTATGTAGAAAGAAATACAGAACTAAAATCCTGTTGAGTGTATGTTTTAAACAGTTTCATTGAAATGTCATTTATAAAGTTACCTGTTTAAAGTATTTAATTTGGGGCTGAAGATGTAGTTGAGTTCGTAGAGTGCATGCTAGTGTATATGAAGCCATGTACTAGTATGTATGATCCCCAGCACTGCATAAACTGGGTATGGTACATGTTGTAATCCTAGTCCTGGGGTGAAGACGGGAGAATTGGAGGCTAGTTGGTATTCACAAGCACTTGTCTTTTTTAAATGTGTAATTTAGTGGTTTGTTGTATAATTACAGAGTTTTACAACTATTACTATAATTCAATTTCAGAACATTTTTATCATTTTAGAAACCTTGCAGCCCTGAGCTATCACTTTTCCCTTTTACTCCTCACCCTTCTCCCAAGTTGCTTTTCTTTCTTTCTCTGTGAATTTGTTTACTCTGAACATTTCATATATATGGTATTATGGTATGATCTGTCATGACCAGCTTCATGTCACTTAGTGCAAAATATACCAGAGTCATGTAATTAGAGGCTTATGTCACTGTGCTCTGCTTTATTTTCTTAATCTCTATCTAGGAATGAAATTGATGTGCTGCATGGTGACCTTATGTTTAATCTTTTGAGGAACTATTAAACTATTAAACTATAGTTAAAAAATAGTTTAAACTATTTAAACTATTAAAGTACTCTCCAATGTGACCACACCATTTTACAGCCCCAGCAATTTAGGAGAGATAAATTTATTTTATGTCTTCGTCTGTTTAAGAATCCCTCACCGCTTTTCATAAATTGCTTTAGTAACTTCATTTTCCGATGCAAATGGTTAAAACTGTACTAATGACACTGCACAAAGGCAACCTGCAGTTAGAAGCTGTCATAGCAGCCAAGTGTAAGGAAAGAGAACCACTGGAATCCCAGGGTAAGAAAGTCAGACAAGCAGAGTTTACCCTGATGGTTACTGAGACCTGAGAGTCCCACAATGAGGATACACAGACAGTCCGTCTACCATAGCTCCTTTAGGTTTTCTCCCATTTCCTCTTATCTGCTTCCTGAATCTTCCATTCATCTTTGCTTTTTTCATCTTCACTTTTTCTTTTGGGGATCCTTTGTCTGTCCTCTGCAGAGCTCAGAGTGGCCTTGAACTTTTTTTTTTTTTTTTTTTTTTATTCATCTTGATTGTAGCCCCCTCACTCATCTCCTCTCACCCTCATTCTTTCTCCCACCCCCAACTCTTGTCCCCTAGTCCTCCTCAAGGGGAGGGCCTTGAACTTGTAATCTTCCTATATCAGCTTCCTGACTGTTGGAAATAATAGGAGTGTGCCACCTGGCCCCAGCTCATTGTGATCTTGAGTTTTGTTTTTCTGTTTGTCGTTTAAGGAATATGTCTGTTGAAACCTTTTGCTAATTAAAATTACTTTTTCTATTTATTGAGCTTAAGAATTCTTTACATGTTGTAGATAAAGGTTCTTTGTTCGTTTTCCCACTTCCTTGTTGACATCTGCAGTACAGATATTTAGGCCTTCCTTCCTTCCTTCCTTCCTTCCTTCCTTCCTTCCTTCCTTCCTTCCTTCCTTCCTTTTCTTTTCTTTCTCCCCTCCCCTCCCCTCCTCTCCCTTCCTCTCCTTTCCCCTCTCCCTCTCCCCCTTTCCTCTTCTTGGAGAAGGTCTCCTGTATCTCAGGCAGGTCTTGACCTTGTTGTGTTCTGGCTTTTTATATCCACACAGATCTGTGCTAATATGTCCCGTTTATTTAGTGGTAGAGATCATATGTAGGGATCCATGCATGCTAGGCAAGTACTCTACCAATTGAGACTACATGAATAATCTCTTTTTTTTTGAGTCTGGCTGGCCTCAGACTTTTGAGCCTTTTTCTGTAGTGTCATTTGCCCTATCCAAGGTTATGAGGATTCACTTCAAAGAGATTTATGGTTTGGGTTTTGACATTTATGTCTGACCCCGTCGGTGTTAGCTTTTCTGATAGCATTCCATATTCTCGGTCTTGCACGGTTTGTTTTGTTTTCACTTGTTCCAGCTGACCCATCTGCTGAAAAGACTGTTCTTTCCTTACTCTTTTGAGCCCTTTGTCAATAGTCAGATGACTCTAGATGTTTAAGTTTATTTCTGGAATCTCAATTTCTTTCTATTCTCTATACTTTTCTTTAGAGCAGTACCACATTCCCCTGTTTACTGCAGCTTTGCACTAAGTTTTTAAAGGGAAAGTGGCAGACATACAGGACACAGGCCCGCTAGCTTGTTCTTCATTTCCAAGATTATTTTGGCTGTGTTGAATTCTTGACTTTCTGGATGGGTTTTAGTATCAATTTGGCAGTGTCTGTAAAGAAGACAGCTGGAATTTTGATAGGGATTATGTTGAATCTATTGACCAGTTTGAGGAGTATTGCCAACTTTTATTTTTAATTATTTTAAAATTTTGTGTGTTTGGCTGGGCATGGTAGCACACACCTTTAATCCCAGCATTCAGGGAGGCAGAGGGAGGTGGATTGATGTGAGTTTAGGGCCAGCCTGGTCTACAAAGTGAGTCCAGCATAGCCAAGGCTATACAGAGAAAACCTTGTCTCACAAAATAAAACAAAATTTTGTGGTTTTTTTTATTTTTATTTTTTTTAGATGTATGTATGTATGTATGTGCACCCAGTGCGTGCCTGGTGGCCATAAGGTCAGAAGAGGATATTGATAGAGATGGTTGTGAAGCCTCCATTTGGGTGCTGGGAATATAAACTAGCTCTTCTATAAGAACAAGTACTTTTAACCACTGACCCATCTCTGTAGACTTGAGTATTGCCAGCTTAAGGTTCAGGAAGATGGCCTTCTTTCCATTTAGTTAGGTGGTTATCTTCCAGTCACAAAAGATTTTAGTACACAAGTATATGCCTGCTTAATTCTCTAATTATATCAAAAATAGAAGTCTTTTTCTCCTTCCTCTTGCTGTTTTTGAGACAGGATTTCACTGTGATGCATAGGTCTGCCTTGGTCTTTCACTGAGATGCTGGCCTGTGCCACCATGGGATTTTCTTAATTTTATTTTGTTTGTTTATATATGTATTTTTTTAATAATTACTTATATGTATGAGCGTTTTGCCTGAATTTGTATCTGTGTACCATGTGTGTACCAGGTGCCCATGGAGGCCAGAAGAGGGCACTAGATTTCCTGGGACTGAATAGAGAGCCTTACAGATGGTTATGAGCTTACATGTGGGTTCTGGGAATTGAAAGGGTCCTCTGGAAGAGCAGCCAGTGCTCTTATGGTGAGCCTCTTTCCCACCCCTTTTAGGTATGTAATTACTTTTTGTGTGTGTTAGAGCACATGTGTTTTTTGTCTTGTTTTTGAGACAAGGTCTCCTGTGTAGCCCTGGCTGGTCTAGAATTTGCTGTGTAGACCAGGCTGGCCTTGAACTCTTAGAGATCTACCTGCCTCTGCCTGTGAGTACTGGTATTAAAGGCATGGGCCACCATGCACAACAGAACACTTGGTTTTTAATATTTGAAAAGGCATTCATGTGCAAGTGCTTGCTGAGTAATAGGCCCTTAGTAAATGCTGTAGATTCTGTTTTATTTGCAGCATTTGATTACTGATCACCACTTCCTTATTTTTGTTCTTGGGTTTGGGTCACAGTTACTGATAAAGCATTTATCAGTAACAAAAGACTTTTTTTATTTCCAGGGCAGCCTGGAGCTTTAGTAGCTCACCAGAACTCAGCTGTTGTGTTCTTTGAGCTTATAAAGTGAGTTTTCTATGATAGGTGTGACTGTGACCGTTGGAGTGGAATAGTTTCACAGTAGGGATGACCTGCTGATAAGAGAGGTCTTCCTGGAACTCTGTGGTAGAAGATTAGGCAGTGTTGCCTTTCGGTGGGTCTTCTTGGATAGGGATCTCTCTGGTACCAAAGTTGAGTTTTAGTAGAAGACCTGCTCATTTAGAATACTTCCTGGGTTTTTTTGTTTTTGTTTTTTTAACTGAGCTCTCTTTAGTGGATGCTCCCATCATTCTGTAACAAAAAGTGGAAAGACTTGCTATAAAGTAATTTTGTCATAGTAAAGTAACATTGAAGTTCCCCTGGACTGTATTACCTTTGTTTCAGCAGTGAAATGTTTTTCTTCCACTTACAGTTTCGGAAACATGATGAGCAAGGAGAAGAGAGAGGCTGCCAGTAAGGAGGATCTCGCCAGAGCAACTTTGATCACCATCACCAACAACATTGGCTCCATAGCAAGAATGTGTGCCCTTAATGAAGTAAGGGGACATGATATTGTTCTGTTACTCTGAGGAAAATGCTGACTTTCTAAATGGGTCTCTTTACAATGTGTCCAAATGTAGTTACTGGGGTAAACGTTAAACACAAACTTTATACTCTTGAGAAACAGATTCATTTTCATTGATTCCCCCCCCACACACATACACACCTTTTTCTTCCTGAAGATGAACACTGCTGCCAGAGGTGAATGGCTTCTTTTGAGGAGACTATAGAGGGGGCGCAGGAAGAAGGCCAGTGTTGAGCTGGGGGTGGGATGAATGATGGGTAACAATGGTGAATCTAGATGCTGTGTTTATTGGCTGCTGTGGAGGTGTGGAAAGGAATCCACAGGAAGCGACTGAAGCTGGGAGAAGACTGAGCGGTCAGAGGAAGGCCCCCCTTGGTCCCTCTCCACCTCAGCAGAGCTGTCTTCGTGCTTTCAGCTTCTTTACAGTGCTGCCTTGTAGCATTCAGGTCAAGCAGCATTGTACAGGGCTATGAAAGAACCAAGAATGGGCTGCCCTTAGGGAAAGTATCTAGGATCCAGTTGGTACAGCTTTATGGCTTGTCCCTATTTATACACTTGGTTTACAGTTACTCTTTAAATAATATAGACATGTGCCTTAAAAGGAGACCTTAAGATCCAAAACGATTTATCTAAATTTTAATTTAGAAGACACTATACACCAGATTTTTAAAATTCTGTTTTCATTTGAATGACATTTCTTTTTTTTCTTTTTTTGTATATTTTCTTTCTTGTGCTTAAGTATTAAAAAATTTTCAGTTGGTGTGCATACAGCTTCTGTTTTTAACTGAAATATATGGTTTGTGGCTACATTTTCTTTGTGTGAGTGCGTGTGTATGCATGTTCAAGTGGGAAGGTCAGAGGACAATGTACAGTGTTCCTCAGGAGCTGTCCACCTTGTTTATTTGTTTGTTTGGCTTTTTGAAAGAGAGTTTGTTGTGTAGGCCTGGGTGTCCTGGAATTCGTTGTAGACCAGGCTGGCCTCTAACTCAGAGATTCATCTGCTTCTGCCTCCACAGTGCTGGGATTGACGCTCTGCACCACCACTGCCCAGCTTGTTTGTTTTTTAACTGGCTATGGAGACATATTAAAGGCATATGTACCATGACCAGCTCACCTTTTTTTTTTTTTTTTGAGACAGGGTTTCTCTGTATAACCTGGGCTGTCCTGGACTCACTTTGTAGATCAGGCTGTCCTCACAGAGATCCGCCTGCCTCTGCCTCCCAAGTACTGGAATTAAAAGGTGTGTGTGGCATGGCTCATCTTATTTTTTGAGACAAGGTCTCTCACTGGCTGAAATAGGCTGGCAGCTGGCCCACAAGTTTCTGGGATCTGACTGTCACTGCCTCTCCACTTCTGGCATTACAGACTTGCCACTGCCTCTGCTTTCTTGGGTGGATCCTAGGGAGATCAACTTTAGTGCCTCACATTTGCATGAGAAGGACTTCACTGACTATGCTATTTTCCTAAGTCATGACTGTATAGTTGATCAGATTCTTATTTTGTCATAAATTAATCAAATAGAGCTGGGCATTTGGTTTCTTGGAAGTGGTGACTATGGTAAGTATTTTGAAGTATGAACCTGTTCTTTGGCTGTTTTATTCTTGATACAGGGCTTACTTTGGAGTGAACCTTGTGATCCTGCATTGTGATTGTGCTTACAAATTCTGGTAGATTGCTGAGGGGTTTGGCACAGGCTGTGCCCATTTAGAACATCTTTAGCATTGATGCCTGGACAGCTTCACTGATACTGGGGCTGGAATACCAGGTAGACTTTGTTAGACAGCCACGATTTTGCTTATTCTGTTCACAGATGAAGGTGAATTGTTTTTAGCTCTCACATATCTTTGCTTCTTTGTGTCATGTCCTCTTTTAGGTTGGTTACTTTCTCCTTGCCATGACCAAATCTCTGACAAAAGTAACTTAGGAACAGGATTGATTTTGCTCATAGACTGAGGGTATCGTCTGTCATGGTTGGGAAGGAATGATGGTCTGGAGAACCTTTGTTGGCAGAATGTGAGGCTGCTTGTTTACATCTGGATATGCTTGGAAACAGATGAATGCTGGTTTTCAGCTGCCATTTCCCTTTTGTCCTTTTTATTCAGTCTAGGATGGTGTTACCACACCCAACACAAGTCTTCTTTTCTTAATTACTCCTCTGGGAATGCCCTCATAGCCAAATATGCATAGCTCATATGTCCTCATAGAGCCTCACTAGTGCTCTGGGTGCTTCCTACTCCAGCTGTGCCAACAATCAGTATTGCCTATCTCACGCTTAGCCCTTGTCAACCTGTCACCCAACAGCTCACTTTAAATCTAACATTGTACTCCTTACCCCTGCTGTCATTTTTATGTTATCCATCTATGAGTGTCAGTAGAATCTGTCTTTCACATTACAGATGCTCCTCATTATCAACTGTTTCTTTCTTTTCCTCCTCTTAGCTCCTCCCTTTTTCTCCCCAACCCTTCCACCTACTTTATGTCTTTTTGTTGTTGTTTTGTGCCCCACTGAATTTAATTGGAATTGCATACATAGGTAGGGCATTGTTTCCTTGAGTCTGGTGACTTGGTTCTGAAGCTGGACATGAAGAACCATGTCTTTAATCCCAGCACTCAGGTGACAGAGATAGGCAAATCTCTGAATTCCAGGCCAGCCTGGTCTATAAAGTAGGTTCCAGACCAGCTGGGACTACATATTGAGAATCTGTCTTAAAAAACAAAGCAAAAGTTTATTCTGAGACTTAACCATAATCTTATAATGGTGAGCGTCTATAAAATCAAAAGCCAAAGTACAACTTCCAGTATAATTAGGCAGAGTAAACATTTCATTCCATAAGTAAGAGACGGGAGCAGAGCAAGGAACTTAGAGACTATAACAGAATAGGATAATTGGCAACTTTTGTAGCTCTGTGTCCAGCACCCAGGGCTCAGGGTGCCATCACTTAGGCTCCAGTAGGCTTTCACAGTTTTGTTTTGTTTTTAGCTGTTGTTGGTGGCAATTGTAGTTTCTCTCTTGAGCTGACTCTACATGGAGTTTACAGTTTTCCTGGGAAATATCCCAGGTTCCTGTCGTCTCCAGTATTTTAATGTCTACGTTGCAACTTGACTGTTTCACATAGTTGCGTCTTGGAGCCTCCTTTAGGGACTACTTCAGCTTGTCCCACAGTGTTTGCTTTCTGGAGCCTTGGTGCGAACTCAGTGACTCCACAACTCTTGGATCTTTTTTTAAAAAAACACTATTTATTTACTTACTTACTTACTTACTTACTTACTTACTTACTTACTTACTTACTTATTTATTTATTTATTTATTTATTTATTTATTTATTTAGTGGGTGTGGGTGTATGTTTGTTTTGCGTGTCAACGTTTTGTGTTAGGTTGTGTTAAGGACAGCTTTTGGGAATCCTTCCACCATGTGGAATCAAACTAGGATTATCAGGCCTAATGACAAGGGTCCTTACCACTGAGCCATCTTCCCAGCTTGTAAGTGCTAATTTTTAAACCCTACTTTATTTGGGGTTCCTTATGCCTCTGCCTACCTTCTCCACCCCTTATCCCTCCTAATGCCTTCCAATACCCCAACACTAGGTAGGCGAGAAAGAAAGTTAGTGGGAAGAGGGGGTGGAGTTCTCTTTGGCTACTTCCTGCTTTTTAGGGTCATTGGGGTCTTTGGGACAAATCTGATCTCATAGTCAGGATATCCAGCAGTCCAGCAAACTGGCAAACGCAGGAGCAACTTTCTTCCTTCTCAGAAAAGCATTCTTCTCTCTCTGGGCTTTGGTATTTATCCCCTCTCAGAGTCCTCAGAATTAAACTATCTCTAGCTTGCAAAGACCACACCCCTCTCCAAACTGCAGGAGGCGATTATCAGCTTTGGACAAACTAAGGCAGTCTCATATGCCACACTTGGGATTAAAACAAAACCTTTTTATATAATATAACTGAGTTTTTAAAGAAACCAAGACTTGCACTACACCAGCCCAAATCAGAGATTGTGTTGCCTGCAAAACAGCACCACGTGGAATCCCTGCTGCCTCCTGCTTTTAGCTCCAGATGTAGCTGTGCCTCATTTACTACAGTGACGGAGGCCTAAGTGTGCCTGCATGTCTGAACCTAGGAACACACTGTCCTGGGCAGCCCTTTTGGAGCAAGGTGTCACTAATTTGATCAGATAGTCTTGTTTTTGTTTTGTTGTTTTTGAGACAGGGTTTCTCTGTGTAGTCCTGGCTGTTCTGGAACTCTCTTTGTAGACTAGGCTAGTCATGAACTCACAGACACCCTACCCTGCCTCTCCAGTGTTGGGATTAAGGACATTTGTCACCACACCTGGCCAGGTAGTCTTTTTTTTTTCCTTTTAAATCAAAGTTTTTCAAATAAGTTTCCATTGTTGTGCCTCAGAATATCTTTCTGTTGTCTGGATGGACTGTCCCTGGTTTCTCTGTAGTGGCCCTAATCTTTAATAATAAGAGTCACTTTACCCGGACCGATGCTCATTTCTTTCAAATTTCCCGTTTTTCACATCTCTTGGTGCTTCGTGTTCCAGATTGTTCTACATCCTTCCAGCAATCCAGAAGGCCTGTGTACCATAGTGTTAAGTCATGATGATGGCCTCACTTCTTGGTATCTGTTTCTTTTAAAATGTACCTGTTATTGTGGGGTGGGATGCACATGGGCCACAGCATGCTTGTGGATGTTAGAGGGCAACTTGTGGAGTTGGCTCTGGGCATTGAAGCCGTGCCACTAGGCTTTGAGGTAAGCTTTTTATTTCTTTATTTTAAGCTGATTCACCATTTCACTGGCTTACTGGTACCAATTTTCTGTGTTGCTGCTCTATTTTCTTTTCTCTAGAAAGAGATAACTGTCCTCTCTCTCCTTCTTTCCTTTCTCTTTGTTTTTTTTTCCTCTGTTCTCTCTTTGTTTTTGTCTCTCCCCCCACTCCCACCCCAATACCTATGAATGTGCAGATGTGCAAACCCATGCTTATGTGTAGCCAGAGCAGGATACTGCATGTCTTCCTTTATCTTTCTACATCTTACTGCCTTAAAAAATGGATTCTTAACTCTTAGCATCTGCCTCTCTCGGGCAGATGCTGGGGTTACAGGTATGTGCAGCCAGTCTGGCTTCTTATGTAGGTACTGAGATTTGTCTTGGGTCATCGCTCATGCTTGCAGCACAAGCACTGTTATTTACTGAGGTGTCTGTCTCTCAGACTCTCTGTATTCTTTTTCTTGTCAAATTTCTGGCAAGAGCAACTTCAGGAAGGATTTATTTGAACTCATGGTAGGGCCATAGAAATTGATTGTGCTTGCAGCAGTGTGAATGTGAGCTCTTGGTAACAGTGGATGGACCAGGAATGTCGGGGGGTGGGGGAGTGAACGGTGACTTTCCTTTTTCCCTCAGAATGCTCCCAACCCCCAATTTAAATCTCTTTGTAAGTACCTTCACAGACAAACCTAAAGTTGTACCTCACTAATGCTTCAGGGTGTCTTAATCTGGTAGGTTACAAAATTAATCATCAGCAGTGCTGCTATTTTTTTTCACTTATTGTTAAGTGTTCCATAGTGATGTTACTGTTTATCATATTTAATACAGCTTTTTTTCATAATCTTTGTGTGTACACTCTGGGGCAAGTTTGCAGAGGTCCTGTATTGTCTGAAAAGCAAATCTCATTAGACCTCCCTGAACCAACTGGATAGAATTTTATTCATCAGTCAAGTTGCTGCTGAAAACTGCATGCTGGGTGTAACTTTATGAGGAAACAGAAATCAGGGTGTGAACTCACTGCCACTTTTCTGTGCTCAGAACATTAACCAGGTCGTATTTGTCGGCAATTTCCTGAGAGTCAACACAATCGCCATGCGGCTTCTGGCGTATGCTCTGGATTACTGGTCTAAGGGGCAGCTGAAAGCACTGTTTTCAGAGCACGAGGTGAGTGATTTGTTTCCAGGGACTGTCACGTGAAAAAGGGCACAGAGTTAAAGGGCTGCCCTGGGATGCAGTGAGTGGGCTGTTCCCACTGTGTCCACGCAGTGGCCTTGAGCTTTTATTGTTGTGTCTGAAAACTATTCCTTACCAATGTAATGAGGTGGGTGTTGAACTAGTTTAACTTTAAGCCAGTTTTTGTTATTTGAAACAAGGCCTTGCTATGGTTGGAACTTGCTTGTTCAAACAGGCCTGTTTGAACTTTTTAATCTCTGCTTCCCAGTGCTGGGTTGAATCTTTGCTAGGTAATACAAGGAAATAAAGGTCTTCTTACGATAATATCCCCTCCCTTTCCCCCATTTATACAGATTAAAAGTCTCTGGGCATCTGCGTGGTGAGGTTAATCTATGCAGACACTTTAAAATATGCAAGACTCCCAAACTAGAACCACTTCTGGTCCCAAACATTTTGGATAAGGGGAACTCAGCCGTAGCCACAGCTTTATGGATTCTGTTTTGCTGTTCTCACTGCTTGTTCATTTTCCCTTCTTCTTAGCTTGGGCAATTTGTTCTCGGCAAGACTTCTGACTTGCACCTTGATGTCTGCCCTTGACATTCATTATATTAGTCCTGAGACCCTTGTCTGCCCTCTCATGGCAAGTTTGGCAGTTAGTTTAGCAGTTGTAGGGATGTGTTCTTTAGAATACACCACCAGGACTTGAAGATTTTCCTGTTTCCATTTTTAGTTTTAGTTGTTTTTGGTGGCCCTTGGAAGAGAACCTCAGCTTTATATTCTGGCCTGATGATCTGCCACTGAGCCTCAGCCCAGCCCAGTTGTTCTTTCTTACAATATTTTAGTTTCTAACCTCCTGCTTGTAGACTGGTGTAGTCCTGGAGCATGTTCTGTAGACTAGGCTGGCCTCAACTCACAGAAATACACTACCTCTGCCTCCCAACTGCTTTCTGGGATTAAAGGAGTACCCCACCACCACCTGGCCAGTTTATTATTTTTTTATCCTTTGTTTATTTTTGCTTGGTTTCTGGTTCTTGTTTGAGCCCACTCCTTACTGCTGGAAACAGGCATGTGTCTTCCTCTTCCTTTTTTTTTTTTTTTTTTTAAACTGGGTCTCACTATGTAGCTGTCTGGCCTGTAAATTTGTAGATCAGACCATCAGGTGGAACTCATCTTCCATTCTTATTCCCTTCTGTATAGATAGGTTTGGGCCTTTCCACCACCACCCCTCCCTTCCAACTATTCAGGCTTTTGTCCTCCCTGATTAAACTTAAGTGTCACCTTGTTTTTGGATGCTGGAAATTGAACAGCCCTTTGCTCCAGGACAGGACCGCCACCATCTGTCTGTTAGGGTTTTATTGCTGTGATACAGACCATAACCAAACACAGCTTAGGGAAGAAAGGTTTACTTGGCTTACATATCCCCGTCACAGTCCAATGAAGGAAGGCAAGACAGGAACTCAAACTGGGTGGAACTTGGAGGGAGGAAATGATGCAGAGGCTGTGGAAAAAAACTGCTTACTGGCTTGGTCCTCATGGCTTGCTCAGAACCCAGTTCTGAGGAACTGGGCTGGCACCACCCACAGTGGGCTGGGTCCTCCCACATCAGTCAGTAATCAAGAAAATGCCAAATAGATTTGCCTACAGGCTAGTCTAATTGGAGGTATTTTCTCAGTTGAGGTTCCTCTTCTCAATGCAACACTAGCTTGTGTCAAGTTGACAAAAAACTAACCAGAACAAAACCCTTGCCAGGTCTGAGTCTTAGCTGCCGTACTGCCCTCTGTTCCTGTTGAGCATCTCCAACATGCAGCCCTTCTCTGAAAGGGAGTTCCTTGGCCTTTTCCAGACTTGATGTGTACTCTATGCTCAGGAAACAAATGGGTCAGATGTTAAAGGGATATGATGGTGTTGTTTAATATAGTAATAATATTTGTGGGAGTTAAAAATGACCTTATGGTGTTGGAGGGATGGCTCAGTGGCTGACAGCACACAGTGCTCTTGCAGAGCACCTAAAGTTTGGTTCCCTGTACCCATGTTGGGTGGCTTACAACTACCTAAACAACTCTAGCTCCAGCAAATTTGATGCGTCTGGTCTGTGCAGCTGTGGTCATATGTACTAATAGCTGTGTTCATATGTACTAATATGTACTAATGTAACATATGCATCTAAAAGTAATTTTTAAAAATGATCTTACTTGTGTGTCATTTTTCAGGGTTATTTTGGAGCTGTTGGTGCACTCCTTGAGCTGTTGAAGATACCCTGACTGTTACCCAGAGGACTTCCTGAATCCTGCCACTGGGACATCTGTGGACTTGTTGGATTTTTTGTTTTGTTTTGTTTTTTTTAAAGAGACTCAAGTTTTATGATCGTGTACTACTCAAATCAGAGCAAGAAACAAATGTATTTTTCTAAGTCATCAAGATAAATTTCTAAAATTCTAAGAGCATCCAGTAAGGATTTTTTTTTTTCCTGTCTAGGCAGTGTGATGATTTGCTGTTCATAACTGTTCTTCAGGGTAGTACTGTTAACTCTGAGGTGCTTTGGAGTCCCAGCACACCCACACAGAATATACAACAGAGAGCTGTCTGTCCTGCCAGCAGCTGACTGCTTGTCCTATTGAAATGTGTCAGAACCTCACCAATTTTGTCAGTATGCCCTTGGAGATCATCTGTGCTCTCTGGTTCATGTTTAGCCTCTGTGTTAACTTGCTGAAAATGGGTTTATTAAGGTTCTACAAACTTGTCAGGTTTGTTCCGTAGATGATGCTCAGCATGAACTTTGGAAGGGTACTTCTATCCTTTATAGTGTTAACTTAGGTATGTGTGGAAAGACAGGATTTCGGGTACAATTCTCTTGGGTAGGGTGATTAGGAACCTTGTGGGAATGGGTAAGCTAGGTGAAAAAGAAGTGCCAGATGAGCAGGAGAGTTTATCCTTTCACACTGAGTGGCAGAGGAGACGGAGACGGTGTTTATTAAATAACTTATGTCTTTCAGGATGCTGGCATGTGGGATACTTGTAGAGAGATGAATTAGTCTTGGTAGGGGCTGGACCTTTCTTCTGCGCAGAATAAGCAGCTCTCTCTGCTTTCCTATTATATGCACTAAGAAATGGCCTGCATTGCAGCTGAGGGCAAGGGAGAGCTTCTCCACAGTAGCCTTGCAGCCAGAATGGAAACCTCGAGATGTTTTGGCCATTCGGTTTTGGGTTCTGGTGCCAGCTTTGGGGCAATAGGAGGCTCTTGTTGGTTTGGACCATGGGAACTCGGGGTTAGACTTGGCTGGCTAGCCTGCTTTGATGGTCCCCAGTCCTCACAGTGTGGATAGCTGCCTTTGTGCTTTGGCCCATTTGGATTTCTGGTGCCGTTGGGCTGAGGTATCACAGCACAGTGCACAGGGTGTAGAGGGGTGGCAATCCTTTCCTATTGCTCCCAGCTGGGCCCACTGAGAGCCTCAAAACCGTCTCTCCATCTACCTCTTGTATGAGGAAGTTTCTTCATCTGTGGAAAGGCTCTACTCATCATCACCCACCCCATATCCCCAGAACTCACATGAGCTCTGCCCTGGTGCTGGCTTGTCAAGCACCCAAGTTGTGTTGTCTACACCTTGGCTATTTGACAGTGGTGAACAGTGCTCTGTAGTGTTGTTCTGTCTTCCTACACTGAAACTCCCACAGTGTTAAATAAGCCTAGGGGCACAGCAGGGTATGAGTGCTATTGTCCTGTACCCACCCCCCCCCTCAGGTAGGAAGGAGAGTTTGTGGCCCTGGAACATACAGAACTAGCCTGAACTAAAATGGGAGGAGGATGACCAGTGTGAAGAGAAAATACTTTGTGAGCCTCAATGGCTGGATGCGAGGGACTGGATGTGAGGGTACCTAGTTTAGAATGCCTGGTTTTGAGAACCCCCAAAGCATGAGGGCATTCAGGTCAGACACAAAGCAGAGGATGTGAGTTTTGGTGACAGAGTGAGGAGTTAGTGAACCCCCAGAACATGGGAAAAAAAAAAAAAAAAAAAAGCAAAGGGGCAGTGAAGGAACAGGACCCAAAGGCCTGGGAGTCCAAAAGTAAAGTGTTAAATAGATACTTTCTCAATGGGTTATAAGGTTGCCCAGAGGCAGCTCCGGGGTTATGTGTGGCCTTAGTGAAGCCATGGGCTGAAGCTGAGCAGCACATTTGGAATGCATGGTGTGGTCTGGCTTCTTGCTGTCTACAAGGCCTGATGCATTTCCCTCCATCAGTATGCCCCACCTCACTGTGGGAGGACTTATTAGAGATCCACTGGTGAAAAAGTTGACAGGTACATAATACAAAGTATTTCAAAATCTGCCCTTTATTTACATGTGTTTGGGTCAATTACATGCATGTTTTATCTTTAAACAAGTGATTAGCAAAAAATGCATTAAAGTTTTAAAATAGCAATTAAATATACAAAAATATAGCTTACAAAAACCAATGTTTAAAAATATTCTGCTGCAGAATTCTTAGTGTACAAACACGTCTATGAAACCTGAGGCTCAGCATTTCATAAACTTTTGAGGGAGTTATATCTAATGAATAAGCCCCAAAGGGCTAAAAGTGCCACTCCCCCACTTTCCTGGCCATGACTTGTCAAGAGACCCAAAGGTAATGGTTCTAGGCCATCACTAGGAAGATGCTCTGCCAGGAAGGAAAGGCATGGACATCACTGAGGTTTCGACCGCACTATCCCTTAATACTGGTACAGGTCCCTTAACAATGGGAGGACCGTGATCTGAATGAACTACATCTTATCTTTGAAACAGCAGGGTAATCCTCCCTAACCCTGTGAACAGAGGACCTAACAAAGTGTCCACTTGGAATAAAAGCATCTTAGAGTAATTTGGATTCTAAAGCCAAACTTGAACAGGGTGACAGGTGTTCAACTCAACTAGTGAACCTGAATCCTGTTAATCTTACCTAAAAACCCTTCACCTGGCATTTCAGGTACCTCTAAGATTTAGTTAGGTACTGTGTTGTGTCCATTTTAGGTAATTTTTTTTTCTTAATTAAAGATTTATTTTTATGTGTATGAGTGTTGGCTTGTTTATATCTGATGCCCTCAGATGCCAGAAGAGATCTGGAACTGAGTTATTGATTGAAGCTCTGAGCCACCATGTAGGTGTTCGGAACTGAAGCTGGTTCATCTGAAAGAGCAGCCAGTGCTCTTAACCACTGAGCAATCTCTGCAGACCGTCAGGAGGTTCTTACAGCTGCAGGGGAAGATTAACCAGGCTAGAGATTGCATGAAGTGCCAGAAGAGTGGGTTTCCACGTCTCAAGGTTCATCTTGAGCACAGGCATACTTTACCCACTGGGCTGTAGGGAAGCAGGTGAGTTGGGCAAAGACCTTGGGTGGTGGTGAACAAGGCACATACTGCTTTTCCCCTTACTGTCTCCCTGGAGGAGGCAGCTTTATTTCTTATTAGGAGAGGGCAAAATGAACTTAGAAAAATTTCTGCTAATCTGAAAGTTGGGTGAGGGGAGAATTCTGCTTCTGGGTCTCATTTGCAGAGATACTTGTTGTAATAATGACTGTTAGCCCTAGGGACTTAGGAGACCTGTACCTTGACAAGTTTTCCTGCTTCAAAAAAACACTGGTACCAACTAAGAGTGACCAGAGCAGCTTGAGAAGGAGGAGGGTGGCAGCTGGTCCAGGCACCTAGAGATGCTGCTTAGGGCTACGGGGAAGCTGTCATCCTGAAGAGTGTAGGAAAACCAGCTGTGCTGTTTTATTAGGGGTAAGGGATGTGTCTGTAAAGGAATCTGTATGAAAGGAATGTGAATGCAAAACCAACTTCCATCTTTCATGGACAACCCCACTTCTGGGATGGTACACAGTCTTGTCACTCAAAACGAATCGAGTGCTCACGGGATAGAATTTTATGAACAGCAGCTAACTACTGTGATGTGTGAATTTTGTGAAACAATATTCAAACAGTCCAATTAAGGAAGACTGAGCAACCAAGTCAAGATTCAGTGTGGAGGCCAGGCCTGGTGCCCTGCCTTTAATTACAGCAGAGGCAGAGGAAGCTAGATCTCTGAAGCCCGGTCTGTAGAGTTTCAGGACAACTGAAAGTCCACAGACCCTGTCTGAAGGGAAAAAAAAATTGCTGTGGTAGAGCCAGGGGAAGTCCCATAGTTGGGAAGTTGTTTAGTTTGTGACCAGGAAGGTATGTGTTAGCAGCAGCTCCTGGTTCCTCATGCCTGTGCTCAGCAGACTGGACTGGCAGGGCTTCTAGAAACCTTTGCTACAGTTCCTGGGTGGTGGCTAAGGAAAGGAGAGCTTAAGAGGTTGACCTGCAGACAGTGGCTTTGAGTGGACAATTCAAACTAGTCTGAGCACTTGTGCCTAGAGTTCTTCCGAACATCTGCAGATATCTCAAATTCCCAGAAAATAGGTGCTATTGGTTTTCAGCACAGCTTAGGGTGGCTGTTCCAAGTCAGAGATGGCGTGCTTTGGAACAGAGGAAAAGATCTTTTGTCAAGTCTTGTCAAGAACAGTATTTGGCAATGTGGTTCCTCAGTATAGACTTCGAGTGAGGCCATCAGCCTCTACCTGGCTGGGTTTTTTTGTCCTGCTTCCTGGTCAGGCAAGCCCAGGTTACAAGAAACTGTTAGTCAAGGATGTGCCTTCTCTGTTACCGTGACCCAGGTTTTGTTCCATTTCTAATGCCAGCTGAACTCAATGGACTCCTAGGCAGCAATGTTCAAGGCATGAAGTCCAGCTAGTGCTGACTTAGGCTCCACAAACCCCAAAGTCCACACGCAACACCCAATCCTCTGGCTACTTAAGACACTTAAGAGTCCAGTGGTCTAAGAGTAGACCAAAATCCTCATACATCTACACATAAAGGTTACCAGAAATGATGTGAAAAGGGGCCTCGATGCAGATTTGGGCCTGAGCAGAATGCCTGACGGGAAGCACTGGTAGGGGACCCAGCCAGTGCAGCCCAGTGGCAGTGGGTGTTAGAACAGCTGGAGAAATGCTACTGCAGTGGCAGGGGACCACCAAGCCAAGGAAGAGATGAGAAGCATGTTTTGCACAGTTGTAGCTTCCAGCCCAAAGAATGCTTTTTAGGAAGCAATCAGATTAACAGTGGCTGAGCAGAAAAGATTACGGGACCTCATTCAGGTCCACCAGAATGGGTCTCCTGGTGCAGAGCAAAGCACCCCCAGCATTCTTCCAATGCCCCTGACCATTCAGGCTACACACCAACCACTTCACAGGGCTTTTGGTGATGCTGAATGTAGTAGTGAGAACAGAGATAGAAAAAGCTGCAGCTAAAGGCCAGGATTCTACAAAAGCTGTGAATGGCAGTAATTTACAGTACCTCATGGAAATTAGGGTGGGAGGTTTCCTATTATATTCACTTCTGCAATATGAAATGGTTAATGCTAGTTTGTTAGCAAAACTAGGCCAGAAGAAGCCCACTTCTGGCATTGGTCATTGAAAACATTTCACTGTAAACTGAGTATATGGGCATTTGACTCTACATCTAGAAAAGCAAGAGGAATACAGGTATGAATTATTGGGGCCAATCAGGCTAAGGCTCTCAGAAAATGGTTCACAATCCCTTGTTCTGTATAGGAATCCAGCTGGCCTGCAAAAAGTAGAGCACACTGGGAATTGCAAATTCTCACCAACCAGATTTGTGTTTTCCAAATGAACTCTGCCAAAACTCCCCCACCCCCTTTGCAAGAGGGTCTCACCATGAAGCCAAGGCTGGTCTCAAACTTGTGACCCTGCCTGCCTCGGCTGGGACTACACAGGTGTGTACCACCACACTTGGCTTCCACAGCACTTTTTAGACAAACAGGAATTTTCTTCCTCATCTGGCCACTGGAGGCAAAGGCAGGTCCCCTCATTCTAAGGTTAGGTATTTGTCAACAGAGTAGCAAAGACCCCCATCCTCTCCATCTACTTCCTGCAGAGCAGTTGTTGAGGCATTGCAGTGGCACTGTTGTGACGAGAGGGGAGAGAAAGCTATGTAAAGAGAACGTTCTGTGCTTTACATGGCTAGTTTACAGTGTTCACAACGCCCACTGGAGGCAGTTGTCTCTAGAAAAGTTGGACAGAAAGAGCCAAAAAGCAGCATGCATGTTTCTCCTATAAAAACACCTTCAGTTAGGAATCTTGAGTCCAAGTAACTGAGGTACACACCAACAGAAGGCCAGCCATGCAGGAGCGTCCTCAAACTATTTACAACTCCAAGTGGCTCACTGGCTTCAGAAATTACAGGGAGCTTACTGGGGATAAATGTTTAAAAATGCGGTAAGACATTTTTCTTATGTAGAAAAAGAGCAGAAGAAGGACAGAAAGGGAAAGGAGAGAAGCCGAAGTGTCTGTCCTGGGTCATCCAGGTGGGTGAGGACTGGCCTTGCTGAGAAAGAGGCTCCTCTTTGGAGCCATCTGAAGGGCCCAGAGAGACCCCTTAGCCAGTGGGACGAGGCCAGCAGCTGTAATGGAACACACTACGCTTTCGGCATTCGGCACACTTGAGCAGTGCCCTGGCCCCCGGGTTACACAGGGACAGTGGAGGTTCAGGGTCAAGCTCCTGCTGGGCTAGGAGGAGAAACAGAAGAGGAATGGCTCCTGACCAGGCCTTTCCAAGTGTTTCTAATGGCTTCAACTTGGAAGATTTGACAGCAAGTGTGAACTGGTGTGTGTGGCAGGGGTCCTGCTGCTGTTGTTCCCAAAGTCTTCAGGTTCCAAGATGAACCCGAAGAACCTTGCAGGAGCTGCCTCACCAAATACTGGCAGCCAGGTGTGCTTCAGCTGATGGAACAGCTGGTTTCACTTGACTCAGGATGCCGAGGGTCTGTGGCAACAGAGCAGGTGAAGTCTGAACAGCAGCTTAAGGTCCACGGGTGGACCCATTCAAAGTTCCTTTCTAACACGTGTTTATCTTCCCTTCTGCTTGATGTAGAGGTGCCTGGGAGACACAGGGGAAGATCAGAAAATTTCTGAAACCAAACCTGCAGGCTCATCCACTCCTTTTGGCATAGGGTGATAATCAGGGTGCTTTGGTTGTCACAAGATCCAGATGCCTAGGGTCTCAACTTGCCTGGCTCAAGAGTTCTTCATGAGGCAAAGGAAGTGATAGTGGGTGTCCCAGGCAGAGAGCAGCGAAAACATTGTCTGCTTGTGTTCCTCCTGGCTCCATACTGCTGTGTCCAGCAACAGTCTGATCCTTGTAGGAAGCTATACAATGTTCTCTGCCCCAGGGAGGGGCTCCTGAGGGGGACCACGGTCCTGTTTACCGTGCAACTGGGCCAGCTGCAGTACCGGCATGTTGCACAGGGGACACACTTTTCGGACTTCCAGCCACTTAACAAGGCACCTGCAGAACAAGACAGCCAGGTGGGAGACACTCCAGATTTACAGTGGCCCCTGCCCTGAGCTCGCTGCTTAACTGACTGTCAGTTACACAGAGCCAGCGAGGAGTCTAGAATTTAAGCCCCAGACTCCTCATCACCCCCTGACAAGCCAGAGCCTATCTCCTACGAGGTGACGTGAAGGTGCCACTGTCAGCACTTCTGTTCTCCTATAAAGTATGCTGATGAAGGAAAGCAGGAAAAATCAACATTTCTAATAAAACAAATTTTTCTGGAGGGGATACGAATGTGTCTAGAAAGGGAGGCGACCTACAGCACCATGTAGATCTACAGTATCTACCGTGACTTAAGACAAATGGTTTTGGTTAGAATACAGCATCAAGAGATGGAAACAGCTGTTGGAAAGTTCCAGCTAAAGAGCTGTTTATAGCGGTGCATGATGGGCGAATCTCTGCCCAAACCTGAAGTGGTGTTCATGTTCCACTTCCCTGGTTCCTCCTAATGTCACGAACACATGCCTGTGCCCCACCCTGTGCAATGCTGTTAGTTTTCTGCATTACAGACCAATTGTGACACCATCAAGCTTGGCTGCCAGTGCCCCATAGCCTGCAGGAAGTTGGGTCACATGAAATAATTCCATACCAATACTCACTTTCTGTGGAAGGCATGCTTACATGGGCAGATCCCCAGTTCATCTCGAGGCTTGAAGTCCTCTAGACACACAGCACAGAGCTGAAAGGCAAAGTCACACGTGAGGCCAGTATCCACCAACCACGGTGTGGGTTCCTGATGCTCAGCAAAGCAGCAACAAGAACTTGGGCTCCCTAAGGCTGCTAGTAAGAGAACCAGGCTGCATACTCTGAAACCTGTAGCTAAAGTCAGCAGATGGAATCCTTAAGGCATGCTGAGTCGTACCTACCAGCACCCGAGAGGAAGGAGAAAGACTTGTGAATTCAAGGAGAACCTGGGCTGCAAATGAAAACTCCTGAAAAACCTGAAAAACCTTAGAGACTTCATGTAAGGTTAATCCTCACCATCAACCCAACTGGCTTTTGAAATCACCAAGGACTCAGGCCTCTGTGCCTGGGAAGGTGTTCTAGGGAGGCTTAACTGTGGAAGACATGCCTTAAGTGTGGGCTGCATGTGCACACTGACTAGAAAGGAGGAGCAGGAAAGACTAGTGAGTAGCAGTGTTCATTTCTCTGCTTCCTATGGGAGGACAGTAGGCAGCTCATCCACCTACTAAGGCAAAGCCTTGCCCGCTGCCAGGTCTTCTTCACCGTGAAAAAATAACCAAATGTCAAAATAGAACCTCTCTTTGTAAGTTGCTCTCAAGTGTTTTGTCACAGTGACGAGAGGAGTAACTGATAATACACAACGTGCCTTATGGTATTGTCACAGAACTGGCTAGGGATGTAAGTAGAGGGAAGGAAGGAGATGTTCATCTTTTTCAGCTTTTGAAAATGAAGGTATTCAAGCACATCACTTGTATTAGAAAATGGCTCAAGGGATGATTAAAATACTTAAAAACAACTTACCTCATGTAAATTCAGTTCTTTTACTTTTTCTTTTAATATAACCTGTAAGATTAAAAAAATGCCCTTACACCAATATGAATATAAGCAGGTGCCTTTACCCACTGTACCATCTCACAGGCCACATGAATATTTACTTGGTGGTCACAGTATCTGCCTAGTATGCATGAGGCTCAGGCTTCAAGCCATTGCTACATGCACAGAAGCAACTGAAGAATTTCTCATTTGCATCTTTTATATATGTATGTGTAAATTATATAGGCTATATAGAAACATGCATGTATATAGCTCATTTTCCTCACACTCATATTAGAAACAATTTCTTTTACACTTTGAAGCAGAGTATTCTAACTCTCCCCTACCTCCCCCAAGACAGGGCTTCTCTATGGCTGTCCTGGAACTTGCTGTGTAGACCAGGCTGGTCTCAAACTCACAGAGATGCTGGGATTAAAGGTGTATACCACTACCACCTGGATTGCTTTTTTTTTTTTTTTTAAAGATAAAAAAAATAGGGTCTCATGTAGCTCAAGCTGGTCCTGAACTCACTCTATAGGTAATAATGACTTTTAACCTCTGATCTTCCTGTCTCCCTTCCTGAATGGCTGGGATTACAAGCATGTGCCCCAGGCTCAGCTAGGTGGTGCTGAGGCTTGGACTAGGGCAAGCACTATCTGAGGTACCTCTCCAGAGCTACGTCTGAATCTTTTAGTGAGTAGAACAAATCCTGGGAAAGACAGCATGAAATTGGTGGAAAAACCTCACATTCAGTAAAGTAGCACTGGCTGATTAGAACTGGTAACTCATAAAAGATTAAAATGCAAAGTCAATTTTAATTCTGAAAGCTTGATTATTGTATGCTATGTTCATCTAGATTTGTCCTGGGTGTATGGTAACAAAATTGGCTGAAGTGAATGTGACATCACAAGGATTCCATCCAAAAAAAAAAAAAAAAAAAAAAGCTTCAGAATAGACTTTTTTTTTTTTTTTAAATTTATTTTGTTAATTACTTGGGGGCTGGAGAGATCTCAGTGGTTAAGAACACTAACTGCCCTTCCACAGTACCCAGGTTTAATACTCAGCACCCCACATGGTAGCTCATAATCTTCTGTAACCCCAGTCTCAGGGGATCTAATGCCTTCGTGCCCTATTCTGGCCTGAGGACATGGTGCACAGACAAACATGCAGGCAAAACACCTGTACATGTAAAAGTTTTTAAATTATCTTATGAGCATTGGCCCTTTGCCTGCATGTGTATTTGTGTACCATATGTGTTCTTGTTATCTATGGGCTTCTATGGAGAAGACAGTCAGATCCCCTGGAACTGGAGTTACAGTTATAAGTCATGTAGATGCTGGGAACCAAGCCCAGGTCCTCTGCAACAAGTGCCCTTAACTGATGGGTCTTCTCTCAACCCCAGAACAAACTTATATTTATGTTTTTGTTTGCCTGTTTGCCGGGGGTGGGGGTTGAGATTGAGACAAGGTCTCTCTATATTACTCTATCTATCTTGCATTCACTCTGTAGACCAGGCTGGCCTCAAGTGCAAAGAGGTCTACCTACCTCTGCCTCTTGAATGCTGGGATTAAAAAGTATACCACACCTGGCTACTTATCTTTATCTTAAAGGAGAAAATCAGACAAATTAAATTTGGTGAAAATGTCTAAATTTTGGGTGTCTGACATTCAAATAGAAAAGGATTTTGAAGGCAAATCACAAACAAGCTATCATCCAACCACAGAATAATGTGCTAAAATCATATTCATTTTAGGGTTGAATTTACCTTTTATCTCACCTGATTAGTCCACATCAATTTCACCTATTAAACAACAACCAAGGCCAGTTTTACTCTAGTTAACTTACTTGCAGAGATAGATTTTTCAAGATTATGATAGAACTGAGACAAAAGGATTCAGTCATTTAGAAAATTACAACACTCAGCTGCTTTAGACCCACATGGTAGTGCTGGAGAGGGACACAGGTTAGTCACAGACAGGTACAGGGAGTTCACTTCAGACACTCCCACACGGGTGGAAGTGTGACATCAGTGCCGGCAAAGTTAAAGAAAAAGAAACTACCTTTTCTCCTGTCTCAAAAAAACCTAAAGACAACAAAACTTTCATGTTTGGGGCCAAAATTAAGGAAAATTTAGGACTACTGTTTGATTATGTTAGAGGTAAAAATATTAATATATGATACATGGAGACTAAACTACTTTTATTTTGCTTCAAGAAAAGGTAGAGTCTTATCAGCATGGTTGTACAGGCCTGTAATCTCAGCACTTGGAAGGTCATGGCAGGAGGATTGCTTTGAATTCAAGCCAGCCTGGACTACAAAACAGGTTCCAGGTCAACCTCAGGCATATAGTAAGAAAGATCTGTTTAAAAACAACAAAACCTGACACCACCAACAAAAGCAAGCTGGGGTTATCAAAACCAATGGGTGAAAGGCTGGTGTCCTGAGGTGAGGATAGCACAGTAACATCTGGGTGACCTGGAGAAGAGAGCACAGTAACACAGCTGGGTGACCTGAAAGGAGGAGAGCACAGTAACAACTGGGTAACCTGGAGGAAGAGAGCACAGTAACACAGCCAGCCTCCTCTGAGCAGTTGCTCTATTGTTCACGAGGAGGAAGATTCACTCAGTGGGATGCGTACTCTGTTAAGTCAGTGGTGACTTGAAGGGTTACAGATGACTGCCATTTTTCTTCAGCAAGTATTGGCTGAAATTCTGTCATTTTATTCTATCATCTAAATTTTTATAGCTTCAAATAATACCAATAAAAGATCATATGAGAAAATTAAATTGATCTATTCTGTGCTAAGATGAACCCATATTAAGCTAATCCCAGTTTAAACTACAAGTGAATCACAGTCTAAGTTTAGTGGAAAGCACAGTAAAAGCTAATCATAATTAAATGTCTCACCTGTTTGTAGGCATAAAATTCTTTGTGTGCTTGATGTCTTAGCCTAAAAGACACAAATGAACAGTGCAATATTGAGATTTTGAAGACTATGCCCAGTGAACCATGGGATATCACCCATTGTAAGTTTTAGTGAAATCTCATTGAAACAAGAATCACAACACAGACATTGTAATGAAGATAAAAGTTTTCTGGTGTTAAGGAAACTTAGTAATCAGTGATTTCAATAGTTAATTCTCAATTTTAAGACACAAATTCGATAAAGTGCAAAAACTAAGGACACAGCAGTTCAGAAATGTAAAAAGTGCACATGCTGGAATCCTTTCGTCCACATCAAGACATAAGTTGTTCTCAGGAGCCTTGAAGCTTCTGAAATGACCCCTCCCAACCAGTACACCCTTAAAACGGGCCCTATTCGGCCTTTTATCACCCACTCACATACATGGGTTGTTTGGTGAATCCTTCTTTGTGTTTGGTTTCTTCCAATCTACAGTCCCTGAGACTCTTTGTATCCAGTTACAGAGATGTCTGCCTAGTGTCTGTAGACAAAAGCCTCCCAGCATTTGGGAGACAGTAGCAGAAGGATCAAAAGTTTAAGGTCATTCCTTGGCTACAGAGAAGTTTGAGGCCAGCCTGGGCTATACATGAAAGTTTTAAGACAATGTCCTAAAATTATGTACTATTTTACCTACTACATTTAGGTCTGAGAGCCACCTGAAGTGAGACTTTATGTGTGTTGTAAGGTAGGGTTTTAGCGTCTTTTTGTGCCTGTCGTGGTTTTTACTGGCTTCATAAAAATTCTCAAGATCCTCCTGTCCCTGTAAATTGCAGGGTCTGCTATCAACTGCCACATGCAACATGGGGAGCGTTTCCTCGACCTACCCTGCCCCAGTGCTCCAGCTTCCTGTCCTAGCATACTGGTTCCAGTGGCATCCCTCAAAAACTCCGAATACCGGGTCAGGTGTGACTTAGGTATCAGGCAGACACAGAAAAAAGCCAGGTGACCAGGAGATTGCAGAGCAGAAGCTAACAATCAACCACAAGTCAAGAAGAGACAGGGAGTGCTGGTGGACCAGAAGCTAGGTGGACACGCTCTAAGAGACGGAGATTTGTGTTGTCTGGACTCGCCTGTCTTACAGTGCTCTGTTGAGAGGGCCCTAGAAACCTAACAGCCCATGTTGACACTATTTTTAAATGTTTTTATTCTAGGGGCTGGAGAGACGGCAGAGCAATTAAGAGCACTATTAAGGTCTTGACGAAGACCTGTGCTTTGTTCCCAATACCCGCATCAGATTGCTCCCAACTGATTATAATTTCAGTTCTAACAATACCTGGTCTCCACGGCACCTGCACACATGTGGTGCTCGTACTCATGTGGGTACATGGACATTAAAAACAAAACCTTCATTCTAAGATAAACACACAAAGGTAGAGTCCACACATATTCTTGATTTGACACAGTGTTAGTGTGTAACCTAGACCAACTTTGAGGTTAAAAACTTCCTGCCTTAGGACCCTGAACTACCATGCCCAGCTCACATATATTTTCTACATACTTCCCCAGTGCTTACAGTCACCACAGGAAAAACAACATGGCATAATACTGACATCGGCTAACTGCCAACAATAGGCCCCATTTGAATTCCACAAGATTTTTCACTCATGCCCTTCCCTTAGCCATAGTCAAGCTCGGGCTCCTGTTTTACAGCTAGTATGTCTCCCCAGCCTCTATTATCATGGTAGTTCCTTAGCTGTTCAAGCCTTTGATACTTAACTATCATTGGTTGGTCAAGTCACCACTGTATGTTTTCTGACACACAGCTGGAGAAGAGAAATTAAAATCATATTCCTACCTTACTTTTTGCTCAAGTGAAAAGCATCCATTTTGCTAGCCCAGTGGTCCTAATTCTTTGTTTATTTAATTGGGATTCACAGATAAGAGTATAAGAGTTAAGGCAACCAGCTATATACCCAACTCTAATCGCAGTGCTCAGTAGGCAGAGGCAGGTGGATCTTTAAATTGGAGGCCAGCACAGCCTTCATATTGAGCTCCAGGCTAATAAAGGCTACAAAGTGAGACTGTGCCTGAAAACAAAAACAAAACCCCCAAATTTATACAATTTAAGATGGTCTATGTGCTACAGGCTTAAATAAAATGTGATCATTATTTATTGCTCAGGTGTACTGGGAATAGACTATATCTTAGTGACAGAATGTTTGTCTGGCACGCGTGAGTCTAGTACTGAAGGGGGAAATGGGAGCTGATTTCCTTTTGCTTTTACCTCTCCATGATTAGAACCCTAAGCATCCAGGCAGCAGTGGTTTCAAGCCTTTGCTACTCTCCAAGTTTTACCACATCCTTTACCCTCTTCTTTGTGACAGGTTCTTGCAGTGTAGCTCTGGGTGGCTCTGAACTCAGGGCCTACTTGCTTCATCCTGAGTATCCTTAGGACTATGTGTAAGAGCCACCTGGCTATCCTTCGGGATTTCTTTGAGACAGTCTTACTCTACCCCAGGCCAGTATGGAGCTCACTATAGCACTGAAATTGCCCTCAGCCTGCTGAGGGCTGTAATTACAGACAGCATCAGGCCCAGCTAGGAAAGACTTGCCATGAAGAATGTAAACCACATGTCAGATTATTGGATAGCTACAGCCAGGTGGCTCATACCTGTAAAAACCGTGCACTCAAAAGGCTAATGCAAGAGGAGCAAGAGGTAAGGCTAGCCCGAGCTACCAAGTGAGACCCCAACTCAAAACAAAACAAAATCCTACACACAAGCAACTTCTCCCTTTGATGTCCTTTAAAAAAAAAAATTTAAAAAAGATTAATTTATTTACCATGTATACAGATCTCACTCTAGATGGTTCTGAGCCACCATGTGGTTGCTGGAAATTGAACTCATGACCTCTGGAAGAGCAGCCGGTGCTCTTAAACTCTAAGCCATCTCTCCAGGCCAATGTCCTATTTTTAACTCTTAAAAAAACAAAAATCTTTGAAGATCATGTAATTCATTCATTCATTCATTCATTCATTTATTTATTTATTTATTTATTTATTTATTTATTTATTTATTTTTGAGACAGGGTCTTACTATGTAGCTCTGGCTGTCCTGGAACTCACTCTATAGACCAGGGTGGCCTCAAAGTCAGAGATCCATCTGTCTTTGCCTCTCCAGTGCTGGGATTAAAGGTGTGTGCCACCACACTGGGCTTCATGTGACTTTTTTTAAAATTTTTTTAAAATATTTATTTATTATTTATACAGCATTCTGCCTGCACACCAGATCTCACTATAGATGGTTATAAGCCACCATGTGGTTGCTGGGAATTGAACTTAGGACCTTTGGAAGAACAGTGAGTGTTTTTAACCTCTGAGCCATCTCTCCAGCCCCATGTGACATTTTTAACTGTGTTTTGATATGGGATAACATCTTTAATTGTGTTTTGATGTGTAGTTTAGTTGGTCTTACACTCTTGATCATGTTGATCATGTTGGCTCCACCTCGCAAGTACTAAGATTACAAGTGTTGTTACTACACGTGGCTTACATAAAAATATTAAAGTCGGTTTTGGCTTTGAAAAATAGGCTCTATTTAATAATGAAAAAGGTAAAAAGTGCTTAGATAATAACAAATCAGCCAGGCATGAATCATTACTGGCAAAATCCATCACTTGGCCCTGTGTGAGGTAACCTTTGCCCCATATCTCTGTGTACACTGATGTTTACAGTGTGAAATGTTTAGTGTGTTATGCAGATAAGTAACTACATGAATTCCCAATTACGTTCTCATCAGAGAGGTGCTTAAAATCCCAAAAGACCAGCTACAAGGTGTTTTAAGGAATGGTTCTTGTCTTCTGACCCATAAGAACTTCAGATGACAATGATGCAAAATGCCTTCTACAAGAACAACTTTCACGACTCTGGAAGCAGAGGTAGATATTTATGAGTTCAAGGCCAGCCTGGTCTACACAATAAGTAGCAGGCCAATCAGGGATGCATAGATTGAGACAGTGTCAAAACAAAACAAAACAAAACAAAACGTAAAACGAGATGCATAAAATCTTGGAGATGGGAGGGAACTACAGGGGGGATACAAAGTAAATAAAGTGTAATTAATAAAAAAATTTAAAAAAAAGTCTTGGAGACAATGATGTCAGTGCATCCGGATGGGGTGCTGACATTGTGGAAAACTACTGAAGACCGTTTTCTACTTCATCAGCAGACAGGGTTGAAGATTGCACAAAGGTGGTTACTAAACACCAGCTCACAGATGATTAAAATGCTAAGCCACTATGGCCTTAGAAAACTGGCCCACTTTCCACATAATGTTTCTTGACCTTATGATAGAAATGCCTGTTTCAAATATTCTGAAGTATGAGAAAATAATAAAGATTGATTACCTAATCAAGTAGCAACAGAAGAGTAAACTAAGAATGAAGACAAATACAGCAGTGCCAAAAACCACAATATATATGTTGAGAGGCAGATTCTGGAATCCAATATTAGGCATCCTGAAGTTGTAATGTGGAAAATCTGAGCTCATGGATGAACTGTGGGAAAGAAAGAATGGAAAACAGTTAGGTGTGGGCAGGCTTGGTAGTGCATGTCTGCAATCCCAGCCCTTCGGTGAACGAGGCAGGAAGACTGCTGAAGCAAAGAAGGGAAAGTTTTCTAATGCCTGACCTGAACTAAGATAAACTAAAACATTAACATTCTTGTCTTTCCTTTCTTTATTCATCTCATCAAATATTTACCAATTTTATTAGATTCAAAACATAGAGCATTTCAACTTACATTCATTCATATGGCACTTCATGAAATAATGTAATTGATCAACACAAAAGCCTCAAAGTGCAAAAGGAAAAAAATGTATTAAAACTTCTCAGATTACTTAACTCAACCCTTATTGTAGTAATATTCACCTTTTAACTCACCAGTACTTATAATGGAAATTATGAAAAATAATTCATAATGGGCTAGCAAGATGGGAAGCTTGGCAATTAATGTCAAACACAATAACAATAACCCACATATTTCTCACAAAGACAGAATTAAGTAATTATGGATTAAATGTTACAATTCATTGTTTCTCAAAAAGCTATAGAAAGCCGAGTGTGGTGGCGCACACTTGTAATCCTGGCACTCGGGGAGACAGAGGCAGGCGATTCTCTGTGAGTTCAAGCCAAACCTGGTCTACAAAGTCCAGGACAGCCAACGCTACACAGATAAACCCTGTCTCCAAAAACCAAAACAAGCAAACAAAAAGTTAAGTAGAGTTGGGCCTGGTAATGCATACCTTTAATTCCCGTGCTCAGAGGCAGAGGTAGGTGGATTTCAGCCAGTGCAAGGCCAGCTTGGGCTGCACAGAAAGTTCTAGGCTAACAGGGGATCTACAGTGAGAGTCTACAAAACAAAATGAAAAGTTCAGTAGGATTATATTTTGATCCAAGAAGTCTACTCCTAGCAATATCGAAAGGATCTGAGAACAATGACTCAACAAATCTTGTATCAACATTCTTAGCAGCACTATTCATTGTTGCTTGAAAGCGAAAAGGCCAGGGTGCCTAAAGAGATAAACAGGTAAACAAACAATTGTGGTTTGCCACCTACAACAGAGTCCTAATTAGCCATAAAAAGTGGACTGAATTCCCTGGAACTCACCAAGGAAGCAGGTAGGCTAACTGCAGATCTTCACCTCTCCCTCTTCTCCTCCAAACCCAATTCCCCAGTCTCGCCCCGGCTCTGTAGCAGACCACCTGTTGTGGCCTCTCCTCACTCTCCCGGCCTGCCCACCCCATCTCCAACAGATCACACAGCTCTTCCCTCCTCGCCTTCCTTCACCCCTTTATCCCAGTCCCCAACTACACCGGGCATTCCCTGGCACAAGCCAAGACTGCCAGAGAAGCGGTAGACTAACTGCTGAACTTCCTCTTCCTTTTACATATCCAATTCCCCAGTCTCAGCCCCGGCTCTGCAGCAGCCTACCTGTTATGGCCTCTCCTCACTCTCTGCCCATCCCTGGAGACTAGCAGATCCTAGTGGAACACCTTGCTTTCTTCCCTCCTGGGGTCCCCTTCAAACCCTCCAAGTCCATCCTCATTCCCAAGTGGCTTCCAATGCCCAGAAGAAGTCCCTAACAGGCAACACACAACCACCACACCCTCCTAAGGATCAGAGAGGACAACAGAAACCAAGGAGCAAACACCTGTCCAAACACAAGACCGAGGCCAGGACCTAGAATTACATTCACCACAAACCCAGATGCCTAGGCACCAGCATAAAAACAATCAATAACAGAGAGGACACTATGTCTCTACTACAGCCCAGCAATCTTACTACAGTAGGCCCTAAGAATTGCCAACATAGCCAAAGCACAGGACAAGAACTTTAAAATATCCTTTATAAATATGAGAGAATCTTAAAGAGGAAATGAATAAGCCCTTAAAGAAATTTATGAAAGCACAAACAAAACGTGAAAGGAAATGAGTAAAACAATTCAAGACATGAAAGTGGAAATAAAGTCAATAAAGAAAACCCAAACTGAGAAAAATCTGGAAATGAAAACTTTAGGAACTTGAAAAGGAATCTCAGAGGCAAGCCTAACTAACAGAAAACAAGAGATGAAAGAGAGGCTCTCAGGCCCTGAAGATATGATAGGAGAAATGGATAATCTTGGTCAAAGAAAATGTTAAATCTAAAAAAAAAAATCCTGGCACAAAACATCCAGGAAATCTGGGACACTATGAAAAGACCAAACCTAAGGAAAACAGCAATAGAGGAAGGAGAAGAAACGCAGGTCAAGGGCATAGAAAACAGACCAGACCAGAAAGGAAATTCCCCTCAGCACAACAATCAAAACACTAAACATACAGAACAAAGAAAGAATATTTAAAACTGTAAGGGAAAAAGACCAAGCAACATATAAAAGCACACTTATTAGAATAATACCTATCTTCTCAAGAAGAAATCATATCCAAAAGATGGCAAGAAACAATCAAATTCATAGCTGAAATCAATAAAACAGAAACAATAAAAACAATACAATGAATCAATGAAGAGTGGTTTCTTTGATTGTTTTATGAAACCACAGTTACCCTGATACCTAAACCACATAAATAAAAAAATTTGCAGACCCATTTTTCCTTTTGAACATAAATGTAAAAATTTTCAGTGTGAAATGCTTGCAAACTGAAAAGTACACATCAAAAAGATCACCAACCATGATTAAGTTGGCTTCATCCCAGTCATGCTGGGATGGTACAATTCATATATGTAAATCAATAAATGCAATCCTCTATATAAACGGAAAAAGAGAAAAACCAGACGACGATTATGTCATTAAATCATGTCATTAGACCTTTGACAAAATCCAACATCCTTCCATAATGAAAGTCCTGGAGAAATAGGGATATAAAGAACATACCTCAACACAATAAAGGTAATTTATAGCAAGCTCATAGCCAACATCAAATTAAATAGGGAGAAACTCAAGCAATTCCACTAAGATTAGGAACAAGATAAGGCTCTCTCCATAACCATTCAATGTAGTACTTGAAGTCTTAGTTTGAGCAATAAGACAACTGAAGGAGATCAAGGGCATACATATTGGAAAGGAAGTAAAAATATTTTTTACTTGCAGATGGTGTTATATGTAAGTGGCCCTAAAAACTCCACTGGAAAACTTCTAGAGCTGATAAACACTTTCAGCAAAGCAGTTGGATACAGTATCAACTCAAAACAATCAGCACCCTTCCTATAGACAATGACAGATAGACTGTGAAAGGAAACAACACCTTTCACAATAGCCTCTAATAATATAAAATATCTTTGGATAACTCTAACCAAGCAAGTAAAGACTTGTATGACAAAAACTAAGACACTGATGAAAGAAACTGAAAAAGATATCAGAAGACAGAAAGATCTCCCATGCTCACAGATCAGTAGGATTAACACAGTAAAAATGGCCATTCTGTGAAAAGCAATTTACAGATTCAATGCAATCTCAATCAAAATTCTATTCACAGGTTTTGGAAGGACAACTTGCAGTTTCATATGGAAACTGAATAGCTAAGACAATCCTGAATAATAAAAGAATTGCTGGAGGTATCACCATTCTTGACCTCCAATTGCCCTACAGAGCTACAGCAATAAAAACAGCATGGTATTGCCATAAAAACAGACATATTCATCAGTCAAATGGAATTGAAGACCCAGACATAAATCCTCACACCTATGGACACCCGCTTTTTTATAAAACCAGAAATACACATGGGGAGGGGGAAAGGTAGCAACTTAATGAATGGTGCTGGTGAAACTGGATGGCTGAATGTAGAAGAATCCAAACAGATCCATACTAATCACCCTGCACAAAATTCAACTTCAGATGGATCAGAGACCTCAACAGGAAATCAGATACACCGAACCTGATAGAAGAGAAAGTAGGGAATAACCTTGAATGCATCAGCACAGGAAAAAACTTCCTGAACAGAACACCAATAGTGCAGGCACTAAGATCAACAAAAAAATGAACCTCTAAAAAGCTTCTGCATGGCCAAGAACACTGTAATTTGGACAAGGCAGCAGTGTACAGAATGGGAAAAGATTTTTACCAATTATACATCTACTATGTACCAAATATATATAAATAACCCCCCCCCAACAACAACAAACCCCAGCCTAGCTATCAAGTAAACCAATTAAAAAATGGACACAGATCTAAATAGAGCATTCTCAGAAGGAAACTTAATGGCTGGGGAACACTTAAGGAAATGTTCAACATCCTTAGTCACCAGGGAAATGCAAATCAAAACTACTTTGAGATTTCATCTCATGCCTGTCAGAATGACCAAGATCAATAAAACAAGTGACAACTCATGCTGGCAAGGAGGTGGATTAAGGGAGCTCTCATCATTGCTGGTGGGAGTGCACACTTGAACAGACACCATGAGACTCAGTGCAGTCGTCCCTCAGGAAGCTGGGAATCGATCTACCTCCAGATCCAGCTATACCACATAGGGGGCATATACCTAAAGGAGGCTCCATCCTACCAAAGACACTCACTCAATGTTCATTGCAATAGCCAGAAACTGGAAGCAACCTAGAGGCTCTGTTATTTAGGCAACCTGCTTCTGGGTTGCCTAGCAACTTATGATGTCATCATGCGTTGCCGGGCAGGTAATGGCACCTGGCAGGCATAGTTCAGCTGCTCCATAAAAGGACCAACCTGCCACTTTGTCTCTCTCACCTTCTTGCTTTTGCGCTCTCTCCCCCTTCTCTGTTGGGGCGCCCCTCCCCTCCCTTATCATGTCTCACTCTCTCCTTCTCTCTTCATCTCCATCCAATAAATCTCTTCCATATAATATCTGTTGCGTATCATCCTTTCATGTGCCTTTTTGATTTATGCTATCAATTTAAAAAGAACAGAAAAATACTGAAAATGAACTGGATAGTTCAACTTTAGAAGAATAAATCATGTAAGCCAGAAGAAATAAAGGGAAAACCAAAAAGATGAACAGAAAAAAAAAAACAAACAAAACTCAAAAACCAAGCA